CTCCCTTATTTCATTGAACAAGGGTCTCGTACTGGCAGACTTGGTGTGTTTAGGTTGTATAAGAGGGACAATTAATCAGCTGCCCGCTCATAGTAAGTTCACGTGCTACGTGACGCCAAACATGCGAATAAGAGTGTTCTCACACTCGTTGTTTGGCTTATAGATGGCGCTGACTGTCACTCCTACTTTTAAATTTACATATAAACCCCAAAAAGTGGATGGAGGGACGGCCGCTGTGATAGCTCAGTGGTTAGAGCATCGAACGCGTTATTCGAAGGTCGTGGGTTCGATTCCTGCTCACAGCTGGTAATTTTTTCATCCACTTTTCTTTCATCTTTCTTCTTATTTACAATCCATCGGTTCTAATAACTTCCCTTGTACATTCCTTGGCATTACTGTCTGTTACATCTCATTAATATTGTGTTAAAACATGGAAATACGAGCCCTTAGGTATACACTTCTCTCCCTTATATATATATATATATATATATATATATATCCAGAAGTAGCTATGTACTTTTTGCAAGAAGAACTTGAATTCGCTCATTTGACTAAATTGCTCACTTTACTGGTTAAAAAAGAATTGTGTTCCTATATTTACTGCCATATTTATTGTTTGTATGCATCTGAAGATGTCTTCTGCCACAGTAAAGGGAACGCCACTGGTAAAACGCCGGTACCTCACTTCTGTAATTTGTAATGATAGCGGACACACTTAAAAAAAAAACACCCTATATGTGCAAACAGTAAATTCCAAAGTACTCGGCAAAAATCATGTATCGTTTCTGTAAATTTTATGGCTGCTATAGCCGGTAAGGAAGGGAAATAGGAGGAAAAGAACGGCAGGGAGGTTAACCAGCCTGTAGGCAGCCGGTTTGCTACCCTGCAAACTGGCTGCCTGTAGCCGGTAAATTTTGTGCTATTCTATAGTAGGCGCCGACCTCAAGCCCCTCTTATAGTCGACGGCGCGTGCGCAGAAGCTTTAATATTCTCTGTGTGTATGCTGTCAAATGCGTGAAAGTACCTTCCTGCATGTATATTCTCCCTAGAGAGTAATTATAGATAAATTCATGGTTATTAATTGTTCTGACCATTTCTGTAATTTAACTTGATCTTTTTTTCATTTCACCTTATATATGCTTTTGAAGTAGAATGAACTTGACGTGGCAAAAGGGCACGCAACTATAAATAAAGTATGTGTAAACCTGCTCGGTATATATGTACGCCTAGTACGTGTAAGGTGGCGTCATGCCACTTAGACGAGGTGGCGTGAGCGAAGACACGGGCTGCAGTCCGACATTTGCGAGTTCATCTTGCGCAACCTTCTGAGTCAGGGAGATCGTTGATCGAGGATCTTCAGACGGTCGTGCCAAGAAAGATGATGTAGACACCTCCTCGATATTGCGACGCACGGTGCGGACTACACTCTCAGTTGTGGGTAGTGGACGGCATGTCAGCTGAAGGTCATCACCGGATCACTTAGCTGCAGTGTTCAGAAGCCGCATGAAATGCTGTGCCACGCAGAGACTCTTGATTTCTTCAAAACGCCGACTCTCTTTGGTGATGTCCTCCATGGTCGAGCAGTCCTTGGACACCAGCAGATTGAGAGCATCATCTGCGATGCCCTTGAGCTCATGGCTGACTTCGTACTTTTCAGCCATGTCGTTGCCGACATGACGGCAAAGAGCGAGAACACCAAGTATGCACGACGCATAGCAATGAGTGGAAGTTTGAGACTGACTGGCGAGATCTTTCGAAGCGTCTTGCTGCCACCATGCTGGTCTACCAAAAAGGTCACGGAGCTTTTGCTTACGCGCCGCTACTTCTTATATATGCTTCATGAGCCCTCAAACCACACGCCTGCCGTTCCGCAGAAATAGAAGCCTATACTTTGGCGAGCATCATTGTCGGGTCTCATCAATAAACCGCTGCAAAAACTTTTACTTCATAATCCAGTCATCGACGTAAACGTTGTCTGTAGAGTAGAAGTTACACGGGTCGCGTGGCTGAGTCAGTACGATCGGCTGTACCGGCTGGACAGAAGCCGCAGTCAAAGTAGGAGTGGTAGAATTTTTTTTTCATTGGCATTGTCGGGCTGTCCATGACAAGACCGCTGCGGAGTTCCGTCTAGCGTCGTACCCAGCACGTTCACTAAATTGTTTCGAAGTTATTTACAAAATATTCACACATGGAAACAGCCCAACAGTCGATATGGTAGATGTAGATCCTGAACTTGTGTTGGCGTCGATTGCTTTGTAGATGTAGATGTAGATCCTACACTCGTGGCTCACACCAACTCTGGAGGATCGACCAAAAATCGAGTAGATTATAAAAAAAACGAATGTATATAATACTGGCGAAATTAAAGCTAACAGAAATATTGTTTTTTGTAAATTATTCTTGAGAAAAATTTATTGATGAATTATTTCCTACTGACTGTGCAATAAATGATTGATATAAAATAAAATTTTTCAATAGCCTACGTGGGTTAACTGAGAACATTTTGGTATTGAGGTTATTAGGTAAATCTCTTCGTCTGTACAATAAAATCTTGCACGACCGCGCACACTTTCCCGTTGCTGTGCCCTAGGGTATGTGCACCTAAGGATAGTAAATTTGACGTTGTCAAAGCTAAGCCAAGGATTCGTAATGGTATTTCTAGTGATATCTTTCTTAATGTTGAAAGCTTTCTAGAAGAGATGAAAAAGTGCTCCACAGTTTCCTCTTCTCCACAAAAAGAACCAAGTTGAGAGGGAGTCAAGCCTGCTTTAAACAAATGAAAATTTAATGGAGGAATACGACAGCGAAATCGAGTGATTAAAACTTTCTTCCATCAGTTATGACACGAGGAAGTTTTCCAGGGTGTCGTCAGATGGTTGAAATCTAGAGAATTTTTAAAGATAGTGTAGACAATTCTCGCATCATCATTTGACTCAAAAATCTAGAAGCTACTATAAAGGCTGTTGTAGGGGTAGTATTGATAGCTGGTCCGTCTAACGCCTCTTTCGCTAGTGCATCAGCTGTTTCATTTAGAGTTATGCCTCTATGCGTCGGCACCCAAGCTAATCGCACCTGGGTTAAGTGATTCGGTACTAGGGAGCTGAATTCGCCTAATGCTTTCACCAGAACACATCGTCAAGCAACAATAGTCATTTTATAATAGTTAAAAAAGCTCATATTTTCAAAACTAATAAAAAGCACCTATCAAGGTAAAAATATCTTCACCCACACTGCGACTTCTGGTCTCCTACGCAAGAGCGTTGCTGATATAAGGTGTCTAGAATGAACTCTGCTTAAGGTATGCATGCCAATGCACCGTAGCAGCAACCCTTTTCGATTAAAGTCTTCTGTTCTCTAATAGCAGTGGAGATGTTACGAACGGCTCTATATTGTTAAAATAGCTCGCCGGTAGAAGCCGGGAGGTCAATAGTTACACTTTCACCTTCGCGGAGGTCTGCCAAAGATTTCGCCAATGTCTCATACTGACCAGGCATGATTTTCGGCCACTTTCAGAAGTGTTCCTAGCCAATATGTGGATGCGGCATCTCTAAAAATTGGACCATACCACCCTCAATAAAGAGCATAGTCGGACAATTCGTTCCAGTACTTGCTGCACAGCCCCCATGTACTCCCCTTTCCACCACTAGGGCACGCAAAAGATATAAAGAATAACGCAAGGTCTAGACAGTGGCGAGCGCAGATGTTGCATTTTCAATTACGTGGTTTTCAAGTGCTATGCCAGACATGGCCTTTAACCGCTGCTCGTATGTTACACTTGCGCTAAAGATTAGAAACTACGCTTGACGAGCTGCCCACATGTGCTTTGCTGGACAGGCCAGAACAAGTACTTAAATGAAACCGTGGGGCTGACACGTCAGCGGAATTTCCATTACACAGCCTGTTGCTACGTGGCTTATTGTTTACCGACGAAAACCTACCCTTCATTCACTTCTTCGTACCAGCCACAGTAACTAGCTTAGTTTCTCAAGATGCACGAAACCGGTTATACGCCACCGTATGAATAATTTCTGCCATGTGTTTTGTAATGCGATGAATTCAATTTTTGGTTGAGGTGCGTTATGGCCCTGGATCAAAGGAACCGTTTGGTTTAGAACATTGGACGGGGTCGTTCTTAAGCTTGTTTCAATAAAGTTAAAGGAAATAAAACGCACTTGTTTGTAATGTAATATTTTCAAATTCAGCAACCACAAAATAGTCATCAGAGTAATGTTACACTCAAGCGAGAGCGCTTCTTATAGAGTGCCTGCTGTTCGACTGTTGTAAACTGATCAGTTTCGAGAGCTACGACGTAATCTCTTTCTAAGAGCCACACTTATTTTGTCAGCCACGTCAGTCACTGCCGATGCAGCTGTTGCAATTAGTTGCCGTCCTGGCACCATGTCAGCCCTGCCATCACGCCACTTTATGTTGCACAACGATGGAAATGAAAAGACGCATGGAATCATGAACGCCCACATAGAATAGTTTAAAGGAAAATTTACTGATTTGTCAAACGAGAGCAGGCGACCAACCTTTTCCTCTTGATTGTCTCTTGGCAGCAAACCTTTAGGTGCCATGCGAATGGTGGGCGTTGACACGATGCGTAGCCTTGTCAAGCTCACTGATGATAGACCAGAGTACAGAAAGGGATAAAGACGCAGTCTAGCCGTCAAAAACGGCTAGACTGCGTCTAGCCGTTTTCTAGCGTTTTCAAGACTTCTTCTATGAAGGCGTCAAATTCCCACATCTTCACCATACCTTGCCTTTCGCCTTCCAGCTGTCGTTGCTCACAGGATCTGCCCCCGTCGTTCGGTGCAGCCTATCCCATCCTCGTCGCCATCTGTTGTAGCCGGCGAGCAAGGCGACGCTGGACTCAGTTGGTGGCGATGGTTTAATGTGATAAGCAAGCGGCTCGCATGCCAATATAAGTACAGGCACATGACGTAGCCTGTGACGTCAGTACGGTGCGTCATACGTTGGCTACTACATCTCTTCCCCCTTTATTTAGCAGCATAGCCAAAATGTTCGGGAGGCTTTCGAATTCTTGTGCTTCGTCGCAATTCAGGTGGCGCGACGTTTTCTTGGGAGCTGGCGTCAGGCGCCTGCTGTGATGGCAGTTCCGTCACGCTGGCTCGGTCAGGTGGCGGAAGTCGTTGCTCTGGTGCAGGCCCGTCCGGCGGCGATGCGGTGTCGCTGTCGCTTTGTGACGGAGTGGAACCCGGCTGTGCCATGCGGGTTTGCTCAGGAATCCACACGCTTCTGGGAAGAGGAGCAAGACATGTGTTAGGAACAATATCGTCCGCATGCAGAAAGCGCTCGTGGTCTTCGATTCGGACTATGTATGTTCCTTTGCTAACTCGTCGCACAACTGTTCCTTTCAACCAACGTGGATCACTCGGTCGGTTTCCTCGCACACGAACGTTGTCGCCAACCTCGAACTCCCTCCATGAAGTATGGGTTTCCTGGCCCTGTCTTCGAACTATATTTGCTTCGGCACGTTTCGCTAGCTCCGGATGCAAGATGCTCAGCCTCGTGCGTGGCCTCCATGAGAGAAACAGTTCGGCTGGCGTCTTACCGGTCGTCGAACACAGTGTGTTTCGGTAGGTGAACAGGAACTGGTCTACCCGATGTTGCATCGTCTGAGTCACTCCCGCGTTCTGCTCGTCCCGTAGCTGTTTGATGAAGCTTCGCTTGACGGTCTGGACAAGCCTCTCCGCCGTGCCATTTGAAGCTGGGTGGTAAGGTGATGTCTTGGTGTGCTGCACTGCAGTGGAGTTGAGAAAATTTATGAACTCAGCAGACACAAATTGCGGCCCATTGTCAGTCACAATTCTCTCGCGAAGCCCAAATGCAGCAAAAACAGTGCGGAGTTTTTCAACTGTCGCCTGTGCTGTAATAGACTTCATGTGCAGAATATCCACCCACTTGGAATGCGCATCGACAAGCACTAAAAACCAGTCGTTCTTGTAGTAGGCGAAATCCAGGTGAACTCTCTGCCACCTGCGGGTTGGCCATCCCCACGATAACATCGGCACGTGGGGCGCAGAGTTCTGCGTTAGTTGGCAAGTTGAACAACCTCTTACAGTTTCTTCAATGCAGTCGCACAACTTTGGCCACCACACATGGCTTCTTGATAGGATTTTCATGCGAGTGATGCCTGGATGCCCTTAATGCAAAAGCGATAAGACTTCAGATTGTACCGCTTCAGGTATAACAACCCGAGTTCCCCATGTTATGCAACCACAGTCTACCGACAGTTCGTCTTTCCGCGAGAAGAATGGGGCTACCTTGTCTTCTGACACGTACGATGGCCATCCATTCAAAACACACATCAGCACCTTAGACAAAACTGGGTCTTTTTGGGTTTCGTCACTGATCCTTTTCGCAGATAGTGGTACGGCTTCTACTGCTGAAAAGAAGTGAACGTAGTCGCTTTCGTCGGTGTCATTCGGAAGCGGTAATCGCGATAACGCGTCCGCGTTTGCTACTTAGCCTCCCTTTCTGTACACCCATTTGTAGTGATATGCAGCTAGCACTAGCATCCAGCGCTGCATGCGTGCTGCTGCCATTTGCTGAATTGGCTTTGTTTGCCCCAGCAGTCCCTCCAAGGGAAGGTGATCGGAATAAATGGTGAATTCACGGCCGTAAAGATACTTGTGAAACCGTTTGATTCCGAAAATCACAGCCAAAGCTTCCTTTTCTATGTGTGCGTAGCCACTTTCGGCCTTGCTCAAAGTGCGTGACGCATAAGCTATCGGCCTTTCTTCCCCGTTCACGACATGAAACAACACTGCACCAACCCCGTAAGGAGAGGCGTCGCAGACTAATCCAAGAGGCTTCTTTGGGTCATAGAATGTTAGCACGCTCGCTTGCGTAAGGAGGCTCTTACTCTCCGCGAAGGCTTTTTCTTCTTTTGCAGACCAGACCCACTTCTTATTCTTCTGAAGCAGTGCATACAAAGGCTTTAGCCTCGAAGACATGTTTAGCATGAACTTGGAGTAAAAAGTTATCATGCTGAGGTACGCTTTAAGCTCACTGATGTTATTAGGTGTGGGTGCTTCCCTTATGGCTTCAACCTTCTCGACGCACGGGTGCACACCATTTTCGTCAATGATATGCCCAAGATATTTGACAGAATTCAAGAAAAACTTGCATTTTTCCTTTCTCACTTTTACGCCGTGGTCCCTGAAAGCCTGCAGGACTGCTTCCACCCGGGTCAGGCATTCGGTATGCGATGCTCCCGTGATGAGGACGTCGTCGAGGTAGCATACCACTCCCGGTAGTCCTTTTAACAGCTCGTTAATGACTGCCTGGAAAACTGCAGGTGCACTTGAGACTCCGTACGGCATTCGAACATACTGGAACAACCCCATGTGAGAGTTTATAGTCAGCAAGGGTTGCGAGTCAGGGTGCACCTCGATTTGCTGATATGCCGTCGAAAGGTCCAGAACGGTGAAAACCTTGCCCCCAGCCAGTGTCGTGAACAAATCCTCCACCGCGGGCAGTGGGTAATGGTCGGTCTTCACACATGGATTCACCGTCAATTTATAGTCTCCACACAATCGTATTGTGCCGTCTGGCTTGTGAACAGCTACCAGCGGCGTGGCCCAGTCGCTGCGGTTTACGGGCACCAGTACGCCCTCCTTTTGCAAGTTGCCTAGCTCATGCTCGACAGGTTCACGAATGGCACACGGCAGAGACCACGCCTTGCAAAAGACTAGCATGCTTCCTTCCTTAAGCACCAGTTTTGCTTGGTAACACTTTATCAACCCTAAACCAGGTGAAAAAACGCTGGCATACCTTGACAGGATGCTGTCGACAGACGGTTGTGCGTGCACCTCGTGAATGCTGTTTAGGTCCATTCCGAGGTTCGCAATCCAGTCGCGGCCTAGGAGTGCTGGCTTCTCTCCTGGTACCACGATGATTGGCAGGACTTTCCGCTGTCTCTTATAATCGACCAAAACCTCCGCTTGGCCTTTCACTTGTAGCGTCGCTCTGCCGTAAGTCTTGAGCTTCATCTCGCACTTCTCAAGCTGCGGCGGCTGCTTTAGCTGCTGGTAAACGCATTCCGGAACGAGGGATACGGCTGCGCCCGTATCTACTTGCATCTTCACAAGCTGGCCGGCTATCTGTACTTCAACTTCATATGGCTGTTCCATGCCCACCAGATACACACCGTACAGCAGCAGCTCTGTGCTTCCGCTCGCTTCGTCACTCACGTTGTGGACGGCGCCAGGCGCCGGTTGCTTGCATCTGCACATGCGCGCCAAATGTCCCACGCGCTTGCAAAGATGGCATTTGAACTTACGATAACGGCAGCAACGGGCGTCATGCTCTTGACCGCATCGATAGCAGCTTTGCATTGAACTGTTCTTCGGCTTGCTGGCAAACTCCAGTTCCTTCCCCGTCTTCTTTAGAGCGTGAATGTCGGCATCCGTATTCGCAGTTGGTCGGAATCCCCTCGACTCCCGCTCCGCTAGCTCAACGCTCTTAGCAAAAACGCTGGCCGATTCGAACGTCAGTTCCCTCCTCTTCAGTAAACCCGTCTGAATGGTGGAATTCCGTAAGCCAGCGACGAACCGGTCCCGTAAAGCGTCGTCGAGAAACGTACCGTAGTTGCACTTGGCTGCCATGTGCTTCAGCGTGACTGCAAATGCCGTGACGGACTCCCCTTCTCCTTGGTACCTCCTGTTAAATTTGAAACGCTCCGCAATGACTTGACTTGAAGGCTCGTAGTGACCACTCAGCACTTTCACCAAGTCCTCGAACGTCTTCTTTTCAGGTTTCGCAGGTAGAAGAAGGTCTTTGAGCGTCTTGTACGCTTTCTTTCCTATGGCAGAGATGAAGGCTGACTTTTTAAGTTCTTCGTCTTGTACGCCGGCTACTTTGCAATAGTGCTCAAACCGTTCTACATACGATGCGAAATCTTCGTCTCCTTCTTCTATGAAGGCGTCAAATTCCCACATTTTCGCCATACCTTGTCTTTCGCCTTCGAGCTGTCGTTGCTCACAGGATCCGCCCCCGTCGTTCGGTGCAGCCTATCCCATCCTCGTCACCATCTGTTGTAGCCGGCGAGCAAGGCGACGCTGGACTCAGTTGGTGGTGATGGTTTAATGTGATAAGCAAGCGGCTCGCATGCCAATGTAAGTACAGGCACATGACGTAGCCTGTGACGTCAGTACGGCGCGTCATACGTTGGCTACTACAGTTTACAGTTAGTTAGAAGTGATTGCATGAGTCCGGCAGGCCAGAATTTGAGTTAATTGGTCACGGAAGCTTCAGGAAGTGACTTGTGTTTTACAGTCTTGTTTCTGCAAAATACACGCGAATAAAAAGCAGCTGCATGAGTTACAAAAGAGCCGCCTGATCGAAACTATGCAGGGTTCTACACCTTATAAGTCCATAATTAGACTTTCGAAAGCAATCGAAATTTATGCTTGAAAGATATGTAGGAGAAAGTATATACTTAAGGTATCGTTTTTTCCGTGTTTGACACAATATTTTATTAAGATTTAACACACAATAACGCCAAGGGAGGTATAGGAGATGTTATTAGTCCAAATTTCAATGTAAACGTGAAGAAATAAAAGTGGGTGAAAAGATCTCTTGCCGTGGGCAGGAACCAAACCTGCGTTATTCGAAGGTCGCAGGTGGTTCGGTTTCTCTTGCCCCCACTTATTTTTCATTACATTTACAATGCGGTCTAATAACTTCCCCTATACTTTCCTTGGTCTTATTGTCTGCGATATATATATATATATATATATATATATATATATATATATATATATATATATATATATATATATATATATATATATATATATATATATATATATTTATATATATTATTTATTTATTTATATATATATATTCACTAAAGTTGTGTGGGCACGACATGTGGCACTGAAGTCCAGTAGTATATACTGGAAGAGAGGTTGCGGTGTTTGTTATGTAAAATATCTGCTATTTGAAATGTAACATAGTTTACATGATACAGCTGGAACGGAATTGTCAGACACGGAACTTGACGAGATGTTCTGTACTTTTGCATTGCTGTTTATTGAGGGTGGTTCTTCAGAGTTGATGGTTTTTCCTTAGCAGAAACCGTACAATGCTAACTGCCCAGCACGTGTTGCAAGTGATTTATTCTGCTGTAGTTGCCACAGGAAAGATTTACGCCCCGACAGCACTTTCGGAAACCTGTCTTTTCTTAGGCTGATGAATTGTCCATTCTCTTCAGCGACTTGAGCATATTGGGCAGCTGTCGTCTTTTGACTTTCCCGAAGCTCGTCTTTGGGATACAATCTGTGAAGAACACTCCCCCATGAAGGTGCTTGTATGGTGCCAGCCGCTCTGTGTCGACATAAAAAAAGAGAAAGCTGAAATTTATGCCAAGTAACACTCAATAAAGGAGGTAGTTTACTTTATAACGTTCGATTGCATCAACTTCGCAAGACATTTTATAGTGCAGTGGACATTTAAAACGCATCTAAGTGATAACCCGGCAAGCAGTGCTGGCATTCGACAATGCGTTCACTACGAGAGAATCCGATTTCTGGTGTATTAACGATTTCTGGTGTATAACTCGAAATATATGTATTCTAACTCACAGCGTACAGTCCGTTGGGAGGCATCGCATGAACTCTTTTTCAGATTGCGTGTGGGTGTACACCACACAACGGAGAATGCGTCAACACGAACAACACAGAGGAAGAGTGGGGGATGGTGCTGTCCAGGTCGGCCTTTGAAAGTCGGCTTTCGCTGGTACAGAGGACTGAGAAGATGGCGAGGGCTAGCGGAGCCCTGGAATAGGTGCTGCGTTCAATTGCAGTGCCCTGCCTCATGTGATAATAAAGCTTTGTTCTCTTTGTCTCTCTCTCCACGGATGCAGAAAACGGTAAAGTCTCGAATTACCCCAGAAAATTATCAAGCCGTCGATGTTGACACCAATTTGTCATTTCTCAACGATAAATAACCCACCCCTGACAATAGCATCGTCGCCTTCGTTGATACTCTCCTTGAAGTGGTGTGGCATATCAGATGACGGAAAGGTTCGTGAGCAGCTTTCATTGGCAATCTTTCTTACCGCTTGTCCTGCCAACCACTCCAAACGCCGTGTGAGAGGACGCCGTCTGCCTTTTTGTTAGGCAGTGAGAATGACTTGTTTGATGAATATTGCTTTTCATTTGGCTTCACTATACTTTTTTCACTTTTTTACTGGTGAATACTTACGGCTCCCCTCATTGGCTGGCTACATTTACTTTAGATTATAGAAGGTCCTGCTCTCCGGATCTCTAGGTAACAGAAATGCTGGTTCAAAAGTTATATTTCATAGTCCATGTTTATTCGCTTCTGGTGGAATCATTTTGCTGTAGTTGGGAAATCACAGCGCAGAACGGCAAAGAATCAACACATTCTTATCATAATACGGGGAAATTTAGAGAGAAAACTCTGATAAGCATATCGACTTCGATTTTAAATAGACGGGGGAGAGCACTCATGGCTAAGAAAAAAAGTGATTTTGGTAAAGAGGTGGAAATAATTCAGTAAATATTTTGGTTACAGTCAGTTATGACCTGAGCAAGAATGTAAGCTTTAACAGAACCACAACCCACCAGGCCTTTGCCTGTGAAAGACAATTGTGCTAACCGGTTTTATCTCGAAGTGTTGGTACTCCTGGTTGACTAATCTAAATACCATGCATACTAACCATACAACGGTCCTAGTTACTAACCAAGAAATTACGTTTCACTCAGCGTGAATGTCAGTTATAAAGTGTATAATCAGTTACATCAATGTCAGGCTATCTGACAATATATACAAGGACCTTGAAGTTTCCAATTCAAAAGCAGGCACACAAACATAGGTCTCCATGAGAAAGTCAACTATGTGAAACACTGGTAATGTACTTGACGTCACGAAAATAAAGATTCGCTATTGAACGGAGCATATATGGAACTTCCATGTCGGAGGGACAGCCATGGCTCTCGATGGAGCTGAGATTTTTTTTTCTTAGGTTGCATCTAGGTATACCCACAAGAGAATGAAGATCTGAAATTCAAAATATGCCAAGTTTCCTTCAACCCACCAGCGACGTACGCTTTTATTTCTTCAGCCAGCTTCTGGTCTTCAGCAACGCCCTCCTTGAGGACGACTATAGCAGCCGGGTCGTCGTCAGTGTCCTCCCTGGGAACTGGTAGGACGGCCACCTCGGAGATGGCCCAGTGGCCGTACAGACAGTGTTCCATCTCGGCTGGGTTCATGTGCTTAGACATGCGGAACATGGTGTCCTTCAGTCTGCCAGCCAGAAACAGCCTACCATCGTTGTCATAATAGCCAAGGTCACCTGTGTTAGAGGCATTAATCAGTAAATCTCCTTGCACCATGCACTTTTCTGAAAACGAAATAATATTGTTCAATTGGTGCAGATTATTTCAAAGCTCTTGTTATGGAACGAAGAGTAATTGTGTTAGTACGGAGGTGTGTCTTTGCAAGCCGGGGAGTGAAAAGCTCCTAGCATCGAATAAATGTCAAGAAATAGTACCATGACAGTATGAAGGACACCTATGGTGGTTAGTTCAATTAGTGTACGTTGGTTTCCTAGCATAAGTTATGACGCCAAAATTTTTCATGTTGACTCTCTGCTAATGTGCCAATTCCAAATGGTTTATTGACATCTGCACGTTGTTAAGTAAGTACTGAAAATAAGGTACTAATAATCAATGTAATTCTGGTCGCGGAATCTTGATGTCGTTGCCACGAAAATTTGCATCCGCCCGCCTTACGACACCGGAGGGAATGGTAAGCCAGGCTGGCCTGCTTTTTTCATGTCATGTTTAAACAATATTTTTGTCCTATGATCCTTAAATTTGGGTAATTTGGCTTAATTTGTTGGTACCGAAATGTGGTGTAATTGCCACAGTAGTACTTCAGTGGGTTCATCAATTCGCAGCAGCTGAGGGTGGTGCATGCGAGTGGTGCTATAAATCAGACAAGGTTGATTGCACGAAATTCTAATTCAAGTACAAAGGGAGGAGGGGGGGAGGTTTACGTTGCAAACATAGTCAAAATGACTACCAAATGGCCACCCAAGATGGGAAGTTGAGTTGTACACATCCCTACTACCGGAACGGTGCCACCATCCGCCATTTGTGAAAAACTCGTCAAGGGGGGTACGTGAGGATCTTCTTCAAGCGACCACAAGAATATGAACTCACAAGAGAGATGCCAGTGACTGTGTCGATGAGAACTTTGACAGAAATGCGATCAACATGTACGTTGAGAGTGTTTAATTGTATAAGTAAAGGCAACACAATATGCTGGGCAAGGGCGCCAATATTATGTCCAGACGCTGTGAGACCGAGTGTTCCAGGAATATGGTGTGGCTAAATGAAGGCGATGAAGAATGGCAACACAAAGGTGAACAAGATGAATGGCTGTGAGGTGGTCACAACGGACCGGTGCATCCATAGTGCTCAAAGAGAGTGAATGTTGAAGGTTTAGTTACTGCCATATAACGGCGATTGCTTTTGTGGAAATGACCATTGCATGTTTAAAACTGATTACAAGACGGAGAATCAGTGGCTAGGATAATAACGAGTGGTGTGCGCCCATGGTGGTACAGATTTGCTCATCATGTACTTGCCCCCTTCATGTGCTTTCCTGGGATGAAGAGGGCAGTGGCGGCAATATGCTGTGTCCGCAAAGGTTATGAAGTTGTTAGTATTGTTCATTGGCGCGCAATGTAAAAAAAATTGGCACATACATCGTACCTTGGAAATCAGTTATACGACACATGCGGAAAGAAGGTGAATTTATCCCAATGCTTTTTTATAAAGCCAGACGTTATGACATGGCGCTAATTATGTGGACAAATTCACGCACACACCTACCCTAAAGAGTCTCATGTGTTTTATATTACCAGTTGTTTACAGTTGGGTAACGATGACAACAGCAACATGGATATGAGCAACTTCAGCATTTGGCGCCTTACTTCAACTCAAGCTCCGCCGCGGTGGTCTAGTGGCTAAGGTACTCGGCTGCTGACCAGCAGGTCGCGGAATTGAATCCCGGCAGTGCGGCGGCTGCATTTTCGATCGATGCGAAAATGCTGTAGGCCCGTGTGCTCAGATTTGGGTGCACGTTAAAAAAAACCCATGTGGTAGAAATTTCTGGAGCTCTCCACAACGGCATCTCGTACGATTATATGGTAGTTTCGGGACGTTAAACCCCGCATACCAATCATACCAATCGTTACTACAATTCACGTTAACTCGACATGACGGCTGTCGCATAGATGTACATATGTAATGTTTATAAAATTGGATAGCCAGCACTGCAACCACAGCTGAATTTTCACGAACATTAGTGTCTATTTGAAAAGTACTTCCATAGCCTGAAAAGTACTTCCATGACCTCTGTTAGAATACTTGATTGACGTTCAGAATGCCATGGTACAGTCGCTGCTGGGACACTGACATTTATTGTTTGCATTCGTTCGGTAAACGCTGTGTATGGCAGCTTATTGAATGCGAAGCATTTCTTTGTGCTCTGCAAGCACTTTGGGTATCTATCTATCTATCTATCTATCTATCTATCTATCTATCTATCTATCTATCTATCTATCTATCTATCTATCTATCTATCTATCTATCTATCTATCTATCTATCTATCTATCTATCTATCTATCTATCTATCTATCTATCTATCTATCTATCTATCTATCTATCTATCTATCTATCTATCTATCTATCTATCTGTCTGTCTGTCTGTCTGTCTGTCTGTCTGTCTGTCTGTCTGTCTATCTATCTATCTATCTATCTATCTATCTATCTATCTATCTATCTATCTATCTATCTATCTATCTATCTATCTATCTATCTATCTATCTATCTATCTATCTATCTATCTATCTATCTGTCTGTCTGTCTGTCTGTCTGTCTGTCTGTCTGTCTGTCTGTCTGTCTGTCTGTCTGTCTGTCTGTCTGTCTGTCTATCTATCTATCTATCTATCTATCTATCTATCTATCTATCTATCTATCTATCTATCTATCTATCTATCTATCTATCTATCTATCTATCTATCTATCTATCTGCCTGCCTGCCTGCCTGCCTGCCTGCCTGCCTGCCTGCCTGCTTGCGTGCCTGCCGCCCGCTCGCCCACCCGCTTGCCCACCCGTCCGCTTGTCTTCTGTCTGTCTGTCTGTCTGTCTGTCTGTCTGTCTGTCTGTCTGTCTGTCTGTCTGTCTGTCTGTCTGTCTGTCTGTCTGTCTGTCTACGTCTGGGCGCTCTCGAGATGGAATGGAATGAAAAAACTTTATTTCAGTCCTGCAGGACGCGCGTAGCGGGTAGCAGGTGTCTCCAACGTAGGGAACGACAGGGAGTACCTGGTGGCCGCTTCTCGAGATCAGCCCCTTAATTTAGGGTAAACCAAAATTAGCATGGAGGGTAAGATGGTTTGACAAATACGACTCACTGGTCATGACATCGATAACGTCACAATCCTGGCGCGTACGTCGTCAAACACCTTCCACCAAACAGAGGCACATACCTATGGGTGATTCTGTTCCACAGGTGATCGACACTTCATATCTACCGAGCAACGGCGAGAACCTACATGCGTAATTTTAACGCATAAGCGTTAAGCAAAAGGTGTCATCGGCTGGGTTGACCCGCCGAATGTAAAGAAAAAAATTGGCCCCGCATCTGCTTGTTACACTGCAAATGTCATCGAAAGACGATAGTCTTGCGCCTGGAGAGAGTGAACAAAACGTTTATTTCATGTTCTGCGCAAGAAAGTCGGTGAATGGTATACTGGAGGCGGTGCGATGCGTTAGAGTGCTTCAAGCGTGCAGCGGAGGCGAACGAGCACATCAACTCACGTCACATGTGAGACATGAGCGCTATCTTGCAGTTATCTTAGAAAACGAAGCGCGCGCGCCCTGCGCGCTGTTATGCCTGAGAGTCCACAGCGAACGTCCATGCCTCTGAAAAAAGAAATCTGTGTCAAGGCCAGCACGCGAGCCCACCTGACGCGAACAACTCAACGGCGTCATCACGCGACAGTGCCTTTCTGCCGCGCACGCACAGCGAGTCACCTCAGCCAGCGAGCCCGTCGAAGCAATCGGCGCCTTCTTGTCTGGCGAGTCTGACGCAATGCGTGGCGACGTCACTCGTCCTTGGGTGCAGCCACATGCAGCGCAGCGGCTCCAGTTTTGATGAGAATGACGCGGCCCGGCGGCGACTCCATTGGAGGATTCTGACCTCACGACCAGCGGCACTTCTGGTTGGACATTTGGTTACTCAAAGAATCCACCCGGTGCATATAAAAAAGCCCTGCGGCGCGTCGCGAGCAGTAGACCTATGTGTTAGAGAGGAGAGCTCGGCTCTTCGGGTCTCTAAGCTGTCGGCCCCAGTGCCGAATTTGTAACGCCTCTGTATATATGCTGTACATAAACCTTGTTTTACTGACCGTCGTCTCGTCCACTCGTCTATCAGCTCTGCGCAGAATCAGTCGCGAGCTGAGAAACCTACGCTACCAAACAGCTGGTGACCTTCCCGGTGGAATTAGAAGCAGTGGCGCCTTCGGGACCGTGTTGGCGTCGCCGTCTTTCGAAACAGTGGTTGCAACGGTGAGATTTCGAGGCGCCCTTCGTAACGTCGTCGGAGGTGCGCGTCGAAACAGCGGTGGCATCGGCGGGATCGGTCCGTTTCGCAACAGTGGTGGCAGCGGTGGGATCGGCCGGCGTCAGCGACATCGATGCGGTGAGTGCCTGATGTTTTCCCCTCAGTTCACCAGACTACTCTAGCTCAGGTTGTAGTAGTTTAGAGAAGGGTTGTGTGAAGCATTGAAGTGAGCTTTGATTGTTTCAAGCCAAGTCGACGCGCTTTGAAACCAAAGTTAATGCAGAGGGGGTAAACACGGGAGTGTGAAAAATTGCTTGCGCGTCTTGCTAGTAGGCTTATAGTGGGTACGGCAAGTGGATTCTTAACAGGGGCAAACAGCAAGAAGCTAGTGTGAACGATGGAGAACCTTAAAGTGAAGGAACTCATCGAAATTTGTGAGGAACTCGGCATTACTTTGGGCCGTGCGAAACGAAAACAAGCGATCCTTGAGATCATGAAGGATGAAGGAGTGTCGGCTGAGGAAGTCGATGAGGCCTGGGTGGATATCAAAGCACGCCGCGAGGAGGCTGAAAGGCGAGAAGTTCGCGAACGTTAAGAAGCTGAAAGGCGAGAACGCCGTGAGGAGGCCGAGAGACAGGAGCACCTCGAGTTGAAACGAATAGAATTGGCAATTTTACAGTGTTCGCAGGAGCCTAGCGTAGCTTCTCCGACAGTTCAGG